GAGATGGGGGTGCAGTGCACCAGGAATGCCCCCCCACAAGCCCAACACCCTCCCTGTTGCACCTGACCCCTGGCTTCCCAGCCCTGCAGACCAACTGCAAAACTCTCGTGAGCCACAGGCTGGTTCCAGAAGGTTTCCAAAGACTTAAGCAGTGTTTTGAGAAGAGCCGACAATCTTCCCTACTTGTAATTTAAATAACGTAAGCTCGAGGAGTGTCTCCCTCGGGCATAGTTTAATAACTTAAAAAGCCAGTGCCAGCTCCGCCTGCCCCTGCCCCCTCGGCCCTCCCTGAAAAGCAGACTCCCTGCCCCTGCCCTCCAGGGGTACGCCACAGCCCACAGCAGAGGCAGCTGTCTCTGCTGCCCTTTTCACTTGTGGGCCTGCCAGAGGTCCCCCGTAGCAGCCTGTGACCTTGACTCTCCCCCACCAGGGCACCAGGGGAGGGTCACCTGGATCTCAGGAACTGTGAGGGAGCTGGGCAGGGGGTGGCATAGATGCATGCTGGGCTGTGGGTCACCCAATCAGTACAGACAGCCACTTCCCAGCACACCCCATTTTTAATATTCATAGATCTCCTCATCTGCATATCATGCCATAAATAGTCAGAGGCGAGGTAAGACACAAAGATCCCCTGCATTTCTAATTATGCTTAAAAAGCTAATGTAAATCAGAGACACACAGAAGCACTAAATCAGTTGGGAGGACACAGCCTAGGAGCCCCCCATCTCCATGTAGCTGCTAGTGACAGAGGCCCAAAGGACTCAAGTATAACCCTGGGGGAGTCAACCTCACCTGGGTGTGTCCCCAAAATAGGACCACAGGCATCTTTCCACTTCCTCCCTTATCAGGTCCAACACAGTTCCTACCCACAACAGATGCCCAGCCCCCACTTCTCGTTGAGAGCAGCAGGCAACAGGCAGAAGAAAGGCTCCTGGGGGATGCCATTGGCCTTGAACACCACATTTAAGTGGCTGGACACACCCGTCAGAGCTTCCTACAGTCCTGTCTGGGAGTTGATCTCTGGGGACAATCAGATGCACCCTTCCTGACTGAAGGACCAGGAAAGGTAACAGATGTGCTAGGCAGAGTACTAAGCCAATGAAGAGTCCCAGGGCTTGTACCCATCCCCACCCCAAATGACAGCACTGTCCCTTGAAAGTTCCAGCCTTGCACAGGTAGATGAGGTACAACTCCCCTACCTTTAGGGAAAAAGAGTATGGAGACCTACAGGAAAAAAAGTTCTGGGCCAGAGACCAGTGAACATGGGCCAACCTGGGAATCCATACTACTGCATGTGGCACTAACCTGAGTGACACTGAAACAGATCCCAGATCTCTAAGGGCAGTGGTACTGCTGGGACCCTGTCAAGGGTACCCCAGTGGGCCCTGGACCAAGACAGTTTGCAGTGCTTAGCCATTCCAGGATGATCAGGATGGACCAAGGCCCCAGACAAGGGCCAGCTCCCTGTGCTTAGGGCACTTCTGGCCACCAGGCTCCAGCCACACAGGGGCCAGAAGTGCTGAGTGAGAGGCCAGGGGCTAGATGAGGGGTAACAGCCACCCTCAGTCCTAGACACCAGTCCAGGCAGGCCTGTCTCGAGCAGCACATGCCAAGTCCGTGCCACAGAAGACTGGGGAACACGGGCCTGGACAAAAGCCTTGTATCTCGACAAAACTAAGAGTAGAGAGGAGTGTCCTGCAGATATCAGGCTTGGGAGCTAGGCTCGAGCACACAGCTCAGGTGCCCCCTGACCTCACTTGTCATTTGGGTGTAGCTCAGAGATACTAGTGCAGAGGTTTGCTGGAACCATGTCTTTCAGCAAAGCACCAGGCGTCAGCAGTCCCAGCCACCAACCCAATCAGACAGAACCGGTTCTCAGCCAGCAGAATGAGCCTCTGTGCAGGGGGTCCAGAGTATGCAGAGGGTCCAGGGTGTGTGTGTGTGTGTGTGTGTGTGTGTGTGTGTGTGTGTGTGTGTGTGTGTATTTCACACTTCCCCAGTCAGACTTAGGGCCCTTAGTTGAGACTCAACCTGACTTCCTACCCAGGAATGGGATGCTGCACCCTTCCCTTCTACAAGTGCCCTGGGAAGGCCAACTTGGAGGGCCTGCTGGAGGCACAGGCCCAAAAGACACAAGGGTTACCCCGCTCACTGTTGGTGAAATGACTGCCGCCCGCATCTGCCCTGGCAGTAGGCCCAGAACTATTTTTAAGCCCATTTACTAGAAATCCCACAAATTAAAGGAAATATGGATAATGCAGCAAGAATCCTGGGGGGCAAATTAAGGATGCACAGAGCCGTGCTCATGTTCCACAACGGAGTCCTAACCAGGAAAGCCGTCTGCCGAACTCATGCATAGCACCCATTGAGTCCCATAAGGAGGGCTGGGGACTTGCACTGGGCTCGGGGACAACAGAAGACATCCAAGTGCCCAGGCTGCTATATACCAGGCCATAAAAGGTAATTGCTGATATGAAAAACCTAAATGCACAGCTCACAGAAGTTCCCAGACAGGGAATTCCAACAGCAAACAGCAGCAGCAGCCACTCTTTCTAGAAAGTGAGGTATCTCTCTCCACTCCACGAGGCTCAAGGTCCCAAGACCTGTCCAGCCCTGCTAATGAGATTCAGGGACCCCCCCACCCCCCACCCAACCCCGCCGCCCCAGTCACATCCTACTCCAGTAAACAACAAAAGCCCTTTGGGAAGGCGGTGGATGATGCCCTTATTGGCCACTCCATGTGGCTCTCATGAGGCAGAGGATCACCCTCCAGGCTCTACAGAAACTGGGGTACAGAAAGTTGACTGCCTAACCTGAGTGGGTGGGACCTGACACCAGGAACGGCCTAGTCTACCAGGACAAACATCTGCTGGGTTGTGAAAAGCCCTGGGTTATGTGGTCCCAAGGTGGGTGTGGTGGTGCACATCTTTAATCAAAGCACTCGGGAGGCAGAAGCAGGTGGATCTTTGTGAGTTCCAGGCCAGCCAGGGCTATGTACCAAACAAACAAAACAAGAACTAGGCCCAAGTCTGAGATGGGGGACTGGGTCACCAAAGCTGGATACCTGCCAGGGACCCCGTTCTGCCACCAAATGCTCAGCCCTACCAGGTCTAACAGGTGCAAATTAGGGCACAGAAAGGACAACATGGGCGTTATACTCTTACCCACACAAGAGGTAAGGCTAGCCAGCCCTTCTCACTCACTGCAGCCAGAGGGGTACTTCCTGGCTTGAGGCAGAGAGGCAAGCACACATTCTCCTAGACAGGAGAAGGGGAGGGAGAGACAGGTCTGGGCTGGTGGGTGGTGATCACAGGAAGCCACACCACACCTGCATCCTGGGTCCAGGCAGTCTCCTCTGATGAGAAGACGGGTCTGCGGGGCTTAGGACAAGCAAGAATGCAACAATGGAACCTGGACCATGCAGCATCAATCCCAGGTGTTAACGCTACGAAAAACTACCGAAAACATTGGGGCTGGCCAGGCCCCATGCACCAATAACCTCGGATCACCAGGAGGGAAAAGGGAGATTACAAATTCAAAGCAAACCTGGCTACTTAATGAGACTCTGTCACAAAACAAAAACCCTAGGGACCATCCAGGGAAGAGCCTTGTCCAGGGAAAGTCTCTCTGGCTTGCTGTTTACCTGCACAGCTATTTCCAGAATTTCTTCCTTGGGGAGACATTAACCACCTACCCCCCACCATAGAGCCCCAAACTCCATTGCTGAACCTGCAGCTCTCTCAGACCCTAACTTAAAAAGCATGACTTTCTCCTCTCTCTCACTTCTTCAGGCAGCTGCTAAGAACACAGCTTGCCTGCCGCATTGTTTGTCTCTCAAAAGTGTCCTCCAGCTTCCTTCTTAGTCCATTTTAATTTGTTTGTTTGTTTGCTTGTTTTTGGAGACAGGGTTTCTCTGTATAGCCCTGGCTGTCCTGGAACTCACTCTGTAGCCCAGGCTGGCCTCGAATTCACAGATCCACCTGCCTCTGCCTCCCGAGTGCTGGGATTAAAGGCGTGTGCCACCGCCACTGCCCGGCTTTTAAACTTCTTTTATTACCAAGACTAAGAACTTCAAAAAGTCAGGCATGATGTGTACACACTTTTAAACCTAGCACTTGGGAGGCAGAGGCAGGTGAGTCAGAGTTCAAAGTCATCCTCAGCCACAAGAGGCCAGTATGGACTGCAGGAGACTGCCTCAAAACAAAACAGACGGGCAGGCCCTCACTGGCTGACAGACTGAACTAACTGTTTTTGATATCTCCTATCTAATGTCTGGGCATGGTAGCGCACGCCTTTAGTCCCAGCACTTGGGAAGCAGAGGGAGGTGGGTTGGAGATCAGCCTGGTCTACACAGTGAGTTCCAGGACAGCCAGAGATGTACAGTGAGACCCTGTCTAACACAAACAACACATACTCCTACTCTACACTACAGTAGTTAGACTGTGTGGTACCGACAAAAGACAGGTGGGGATCAATGGAAGACAAGAGTCTTTAAATGACTTCATATGTGGAAAGCCAATGATTTCATAAAGATGCCAAGACCTTTCAATGGAGAAAGAACTTTCTCTTCAAAATACGGCTCTGGAACACGGGGTAACACACATTCGAGGATGACCGTTACCTCACCCCACAGACCAACATTAACTCAGTGCGTCAAAGATCTAAGCAAGGGCTGGGGAGACAGCTCTGGGGCTGAAGTGCTGGCTGCATTAGCATGAGGATCTATGTGGATCATAAAAACCAGGCCACTGTGGCATGTGCCTGTAACCTAGCACTTGGAGGCATGGAGACAAGTGGATCCCAGGGGCTTTCCGGCCAGCCAGTCTAGCCAAAACAGAGCCCTAGGTTCAGCGAGAGACAGTCTCAAAAAATGTATGCTAGTGACTGAAGAAGACACTAGATATAGACCTCTAGCCTTCACAGACACACACCTGTACACACAGGTGAACGCACTACCCACCCACCCACCCACCCCCAAACACATAGTAGGGAGAAATCTATTCAGGAATATCTGCTACTCACATCTTTAATGTGGCTCATACCTAGAATATATAAAATATGCAAACCATCTAAAGAGATTTTCCACCAAAGAATAGGCACAAATGTTCAATATGCACATAAAACTCAGTATCATTAGCTAGCCAGGCAATCGAAGTGAAAACCACAGTGAGGAGCTGCAGAGGTAGCTGGGGTGGAATGTGTGTTTAACTTCTTTTTTTTTTTGGTTTTTCGAGACAGGGTTTCTCTGTGTAGCTTTGCGCCTTTCCTGGAACTCACTTGGTAGCCCAGGCTGGCCTCGAACTCACAGAGATCCGCCTGGCTCTGCCTCCCGAGTGCTGGGATTAAAGGCGTGCGCCACCACTGCCCAGCGTGTGTTTAACTTCTAACCAGGCCCCCGGCTTCCATCCCCAACACCAAAAACAAAAGAGAAAGATGCAGGGGACAGCCGGTGGTGGGAATATGGTGGGATGTGAAATCTGCAACCACTTTGGAAAACAAACTGCAAACTCTCCCAAAAGTTAAACTGTATTTCTGCATGACCTAGAAATTCCACTTCTATGAGTGTAGGCAAGAGAAAACACACTATCTACACAAAAGTTTGCAAAGCACAGACTCTTAGAAACATTGGTTACAACAGCCAAGAGGTGGAAACAGCCCAAGTATCTATCAACCAATGAAAGGTAAATGACCTTTGGAAAATCAGATGGTAGAATATGATTTACAATACAGGGTAAGGAGTCAGTACCATGTCATAGATGACTCTTAAATATCAGTAAGAGAGAAAAAGCCAGTCACTCCAGGCCACACTGTCTGTCTGTGCAAAATGTCTAGAACAGGTAACTGATAGACAAGGGCTGGGGCTGGGGAGTGCCGCTAAAGAGTTTGGTTGTTTTTGGTTTTTCCGTGTAACAGCTCTGGCTGTCCTGGAACTTGCTTTGTAGACCAGGCTGGTCTTGAACTCACATCACAGAGATCCGCCTGCTTCTGACTCCTAAGCAGTGTTCAGCACCACGCCCCACCTGGTTGTCTGTTTTTGAGTGATAAAAATGTTCTGAATCAATTTCCATGAAGGTTACACAACTCTGATCGTACCATTACCTGGTTCATAAAGGATGACCATACGGGCAAACTTGGCAGTACACGAACAGAAAGGTTTCAAACGGGAAAAACGCTGAGTGTGGTGGGCTTCATGGTGAAACCCTGTGTGTGGGGGTGGGGGTGGGGAGGAAGTAAAGAAAAGAGAAGAGATACTGAGAGGTGGAGGTGTGAAGATCATGAGTTCAAGGTAAGCCTGAGTTCCGAGGTGAGTTCAACGCCAATTTGGGCTACTGAAGAAGATCCTGGGCTGACAGAATTGTTAAGTGGGTAAAGGTGTTTCCCACCAAGCCTGATGACCTGTGTTTCATCCTTGAGACCCAAATGGTAAAAGGAGAAACCGACTCCTACAAGCTGTCCTCTAACCTCCATAAGAGTACCGTGGCTTGTGCGCCCTCAATCCCCACAAACGCACAAATAAATAAATGTAACTAATTCATTTTAAAAAGGTATGGCCCAGATCCACATCATGCATAAGAACTCCTCACACATAAAGAGATGGCTCAGCAGTTAAGAGCATGCACTGCTCTTGCAGAGGACCTGAGTTGGGTTCCCGGCACCATGTGGAGCAGCCCACAATTGTTCGTAACTTCAGCTCAATGGGATCTGATGCCCCTGGCCTCCACGGCACCTCACTCACAGGCACATACCCACCTCACAGACACTCATATACAAATTAAAAATTGTTTAAATCTTCAAATATAATATAGGCAGTATAAAAAGAAATGGATAGGAAAAGATAAATCATCCGAACACAATCAAAAGAAGGCAGGGGCCACTTCATAATTAAAACAAAAAAAGCAAATGATAAGACACATTGGAGAAGGACCGAGGGTCTGCCTATGAAGAATACTCAGCTATGCTCCATGTGGATACTAGACAGTAGCATCTCTAAGCACGAAGCAGAAAGTGGCAGAGTCAGAGGCCTTCAGGAATCCTCTCCAGCCCTCTGACAACTGGTATAAAAACTGAACAGAAAATCAGCAACAAGACAGAGAACTAAACACCACCAACTATCGGGATCTCATCCACACTTTCAGACCACGCCACCCCGCTGCAGCTTCACTGCCCCAGAGCCTTTGGAGCACACCACAGGAGAGAAAGCATCTCAACCCAAAACACCAAGAAACTGAAGACTTGAAATTGAGCTGAGGCTGTAGCCTAGTGGCAGAGCCTTACAGTGTTGCAAGACCCTGGGATCGATGGAAGCATGGTGGTTTACCCCTGGAATTCCCGCGCTTGGGAGGCAGAAGCAGGAAGGACAGGAGTTCAAGGTCAAATCAAGATGTGTAACAAGTTTGAGACCAGCCTGGCAACATAAAACTCTGCCTCAAAATAGCTGTAGTAGTAGTGAGATGTGCCCGGAGGCAGCAGTGCAGACAGAAACAAAGGAAGGAGTGCAGAGCTGGCACCAAGCTGGGATGCGGCCGGGTACCCTAGGTGAGCGCAGGCATGGAGCTGGGGGCCTGATCCCAGCTGGCTGCTCCCACGTGTCTCCACCCCAGCCTTTGGCATGGGCCCCCAGCTCTGCTCTTACAGTTTGCCACTTCACCATTCATTGGTGAGGAAAGGACCACAGCATTCTCCCTGGCCCACTACTGAGAACCATAGCCTGCCCAGTCTTGGCAAGCTAGAGCCAGCCAATCAGAAAAGGGCAGATCCTGCAAACTGCCCCCTTTTCTTTTCTGATACATCTCTGGGTGTGCTCTGACACGTCCAAAGACGCCACAGCCAATCAAGTTTAAGCTAATGTAACCGTTGTTTGCTTAGCCAATCATGTTTGCTGGAGATGACCTAACTGTCCCTGGAATTCTCCTAGCTGGGCTTAAAAGGAGCCTGAGAGCTTCTCTTGAGGTCATTGCCATTTTGTTGAGTGGCTGATCCTTGCATGCAGGAATTTTCTCGTCAGAAATAAATGCTCTTGCTTTTGCATACGTGAGTGGTGGGTGGTTTTTTTGTGGGGTGATTTGTGGACCCTAACATTTGGGGGCTCATCAAGGATCCTCCTCCTACCCCCAACACCTTGAGTGTTTAAGGAACCTGGCCGGTAAGTGAGTGCTCTCTGTCTGTGTTAGTCTCTGTTATACGTGACTCTAAGGCTCGAGCCAATCCTGGAGGCCCGAGTGAGCCAGGCAGATAGCTATTGGCACCCATGCCAGGTGGGTCCAGAGATGTCTCGGACCCACCAAAGGGGGACTGAGTCCCATCGAAAATTGAAGTGGGACACAGCAAGTCACTCCTGCCAGATGGAGCTCACTTATATCGGGGCTCACTTATATTGAGAGAGGCCATCATCCTGATTTTGGTTACAGCAAGAGAGGCCGCTATCCCAATTTTGGTTTCTTTTTCTTGCACTGTACTGGTATATTTTATGGTGTGTTGTCTTTCTGTGTCTTTGTTTTGTAATCACTCTTTTTCTTCTAGAAGAGATGGTGCAGACAACCTTGACGTTGTCGCCCCCCCCCTTCCCCCGGCCTCCCCATCAAGTCTTTTGCTGAACCATTTTAAGGACTTCCAGACCCAAGCAACTGACCTGGGACTTGTCCAGAAAAGAAAGCTTTCTACCTTCTGCAGGAATGAATGGCCCGAGCTGGATGTGGGATGGCCTGAGGAGGGAACCTTCAACCTCCTAACTATTTATCAGGTTAAAGACATAGTCAGTGAGTCATCAGAACACCCCAATCAGGTGTCCTACATCACCACTTGGCAGATGATGGTAGAAAAACCCCCTAAACGATTAAAACCCTTCCTTTCACCCTCCCAGGCGACTGCTGAGGTGGCAACAGAAAAGAATCTGCCGCCAAAGAAGAAAGGGGAACTGACACCTTCAGCACCCCCCCTTACTCCATCCTTCCCCCTTTGAGGGACCCGGAGGAAGAGTTCTTCTCAGCCTTGCCACTCTATCCACAGGCGGCACAGGGGTGAGGGAAACAGAGGATGCAGAGGGAGGGGAGTGGTGTGGAGAAAAAACTGAGGAGCCCTACACACACACACACACACACACACACACACACACACACTTGTGCCCACTCACAGAGAGAGGAGCTGCAGCTATAGCCGACTCCATGGTCCTTCCTCTGCATGCTGTGGGCCCTCCTGATGCTGGAAGTAGACAGCAGCTGGCCCATTGGCCTTTCACCACTAGCAACCTCTATAATTGGAAACTGCAAAATCCTAAGTTTTCTGAGAAACCCACTAAGCTCATCGACCTGTTAGATTCTGTCCTCTTTACTCATCAGCCAACCTGGGATGAATGTTATCAGCTGCTCCAGGTCCTCTTCACCATGGAAGCGGGAGCAAATTCTGGCAGAGGCTCGGAAATTGGTTCCTGGCGCAGACAGGAGGCCCACCACAAATCTAGGCCTCATCAATGCAGCGGGGAGGGGGTTCCCCTGACCAGACCCAACTGCGACTTCAACATGGAGGAAGGTAAGGAGGCTGAAGGTCTACTGTCGGACTCTAATGGGGGTCTGCTGACCAAAATGGGGGCCCACATTCACTCTGACCAGGCTGGGATCATAGTGACTGACCAAAAAAGGGAATCCCTATATGTCCTCACTATGGCCCTCTTAGATGAATACAAGCTGTTTACAGATCTCCCCAAGTGGGAAGGAGATGGGGAGGCAGGGAGCCTGCTACAATGGCTCCAGGAAATTCCCCAAGTCTGGGCAAAGATTGGAGGGTCAACACTAGCCAAACACTGGCCCCCTGTGGTGGTACAACTGAAGGCCCATGCTACTACACCAACCCGCATCAGACAGTACCCAATGCCCAGAGAAGCTAAACAAAGGATTCAAAGGACAACTAAACTGGACACAGCTACCCTAGGGATTCAAGAACTCCCCCACCATCTTAGATGAAGCCTTCCATGAAGATTTGGGTGAGTACAGACAAACCCACCCAAACACCAGTCTGTTAGAGTACGTAGATGACCTCCTGATTGTGGCCAGCACTCCGGAAGTATACAGGATGGCTACCAAGGATTTGCTTTGAACTTTGGGGAACTTAGGGTACCGTGTGTCTGCAAAGAGGGCTCTGCCAATACCGAGGTAACCTATTAGGGTACATACTCAAGGGGGGAAGAAGATGGCTGTCAGAGGCAAGGAAAGAGACTATTCTAAGGATCCCCCGGCCCAGGCCCAACAGTCGCGAGGGGTGGGGGTTGTAAGAGATGGGGGGAACTTCACTAGAATCGACTGAACAAATGGAAGGGGCCTCCTGATGGCAGAAGGAAGGACTATTAAGAATAAGCAGTAGATCCTGAATCTCCTGCAAGCCATATGGCTGCCCCGAAAAGTGGCTATTATACACTGCCTGGGACATCAAAAAGGAGAGGACGCTATCTCTAAGTGAAACAAAGGGTAAATGCAGCAGCTCAAGAAGCGGCCCTCCAGGTGGCAGCCACCCTGAGAGTCAACCTGCCTAGACTTGCAGCCCCAACCTTGCCCGAAAACCCCGCCTATTCCAAGAAGGAATTTCGGAGGATTTGAACTTACACCAATGCCTACAAAGAGGTCTCCTGATGGGCAGATTATCCTCCCTTCAGACTTTGCCAGCCAAGTAGTCTGGCAGATACGTCAAAGTACCCATTTGGGGGAAAGAAAAATACAAGACTTACTAAGAGCACACCTCAAAGTGTTCTACCTGAAACCAAAAATGGAGGAACATGTAGCCCAACGTGTTGCCTGGTGAATGCCAAATTGGGCACAGGACCATCAACAGGAGGGACCATCAAGAGGAACACAGCCTGGAGCCAATTAGGAAATTGACTTTACAGCGGTAAAACCAGGCCTGTATGGCTATAAATATGTTAGTCTTTATAAATACTTTTCAGAATGGACTAAAGCTTTCCCAACTAAACACAAGACGGCTGTGATAATGGTCAAGAAACTACTAGAAGAAATCATCCCAAGGTATGGCCTCCCAGTGTTCTTGGGCTCAGATAACAGGCCTGCGTATTCATCTCTCAGGTAATACAGAAACTAATTAAGGCTATGGGGACTAATTGGAAACCTCATTGTGCATATCATCCCCAAAGTTCAGGCCAGACAGGAAGAATGAATCTGACCCTAAAGGAGACCTTAACCAAATTAACCCTCGAGACTGGTGGAGACTGAGTATCTCGCCATCCCTTTGCTCTTTTTTCGGGTTTGCAATTCTCCTTACACCCTGAGCTTAACCCCCTTTGAGATTATGTAAGCCAGATCCCCACCCTTATCGCCCAACCTTAGGGCAGAACTGTTAGTTGAATTTGATGAACAAAGGTTCCTTTCCTCTTTGCAAGTCTTGTTCCAGGTGCAGAAACAGCTTTGGCCTCAGATGCATGCAGTCTATGAAAAGGTGCCACCTCCCATGCCTCACAGATTCTGGCCAGGGGACTTGGTGATCACCAAAAGACACCAAAAAGAAACCTTGGAACCTGGTTGGAAGGGACCCTACACTGTCATCCTGATGACACCCACAACTATCAAAGTTGACAGGGTCTCCAGCTGGATATACCACTCCCATGTATGGGTCCCTGTGGACCGACATCCTGACCCTGAGGACCACACTGCAGAGGAAGTCAACCTTGGACTTTGGAGGGCCATTACACATCCACAAGACCCTCTCAAATTGAGACGCCAGAAAGCCACTGACCCAGCTAAGTAATGGGCTTGCTCCTATGCTTCCTCAGTTTCCTTAGTTCATGTCTGCTGGGGTTTTCCAACCAGGCCACCACAGGGCGCCAAAACCTCCATCAGCCCTTTAACCTCACTTGGAAGGTCATCAACACAGACTCGGGGGAGGTCCTAAACCAGACCTCCCATTCTGCCCCTTAGGGACCTGGTTTCCTGACCTGTACTTTGACTTGGGGGCACTTTTCACCGAAACAGCTTACCAGGCGCATCTATACTGATTCTTTTATTCAAGAACATTACATCCATTTTTATGTTTGTTTATGTTTTTATGGTAGAACTAAGGCCCAGAAAAAGACCTGTCGGGGAGCAAGTGACTATTTCTGTGCCTCACAGAGTTGTGTCTCCACAGGTCACACCTGGTGGAAAACCCCAAAGACCAGGGACTTCATCAGAGTAAAAAGGGCATATGAACCGGCCTGTCGCCCTGGGTATGGTGGAAAGGGGGCATGCAACCCAGCATTGATTCGATTCACTGATGCTGGCAAAAGGGCCTCTAGTTGGATGTCAGGAAAAACCTGGGGTTTAAGGCTATACAAGGACAGAATGGCACCCGCAGATCTGCAAGCATCATTCACCCTACAATTAGACGTTCAGCTCCTACAACCATGGAAGCCCCTGGGCCCCAATAAGGTAATGAGTCCAACCAGACCCATGACTGCCCCCACCCAGAGGCCCACGGAAACTAAAACATTTTGACACATAAAACTGCCCCCATGGACCTACTCCCCAATCTAGGACCTTTAAACCTTTTAAAACCTACCTATTTGGTCTTAAATGCCTCAAAGCCCAGTCTCACTAAAACTTTCTGGCTTTGCCTAGATGCAAACCCCCCTATTCTGAAGAGACTGCAATAATGGGAAACTGTACCAACTCCTCTGACACCCAGTCACACCCATGACAACAGTCAGGCAGAGGGAGGCTCGCCCTGCAGCCTGTGACAGGGAAGGGCCTCTGCATCGGCCAGCCCCCGCCAAATTATGTCAGTCTGCAGTGAGGCTCAGAGTCCACCAGGGACATGATACTTAATTCCCCCAGACGGCGCCTGGTGGGCTTGCACTACAGGTTTAACCCCTTGCGTACATGCTCAAGTTTTAATTAACACTCAGGGGTTCTGTGTTTTAGTACAACTGGTCCCTAAAATAGCCTATTACCCTGAAAAAGAAATTCTCCGCCGGCTGGAACCACTATGGTGAGGCAAACGGGATGTTTTACAGCCGTCCTCCCCTCTCCTAGGCCTAGGTTTAGCCGGGGACATAGGTACCAAGACTTCAGCCCTTGTTCTCCAAGAGCAGAATGATAGGACTCTGCGCATGGCCACAGATGCAGCCATAGCCACCCTAGAAAAACCTCTCATCTATTTAGAAGAATCCCTCTCCTCCTTAGCTGAAGTGGTCCTCCAGAACGAAAGAGGGCTGGACTTACTATTCTTTCAACAAGGAGGTCTACGCTTGGCCTTAGGGGAACAGTGTCGTTATTATGCCAACCACTCGGGAGTCATTAGAGATTCCAGGACCCTGCTCAGAAAGGGGTTGCATGACAGGAAACTGGAGAGGCCACAAAACGAGGGATGCTATGAGTCCCTGGTTAACTGGTCTCCCGGGTTGACCACTCTCTTGTCTGCTCTGGCTGGCCCCTAGTCCTCCTATTGTTGGCCTTAACGTGTGGGCCTTGCACAGTCAATGCTTTAGTCAGGCTTGTCAGGGAGAGGATCTCCACCGTTCAACTGATGGTTCTCACACAGCAATACAAGCCTGCAGACCTGGAAGAGTCATCTCCAAGACCTGAGAGGACCCATTATTCAAGGAGGGAATGAGACGGCGACCCATGACATTGAGAACGACAGCAAGGAAGCTACACGGAGCTGGGGCCAAGCCGTGGTGAGGCAGGGACCCTGGGTGACTGCAGGCACGGAGCTGGGGCCAAGCCGTGGTGAGGCAGGGACCCTGGGTGACTGCAGGCACGGAGCTGGGGCCAAGCTGTGGTGAGGCAGGGACCCTGGGTGACTGCAGGCACGGAGCTGGGGCCAAGTCGTGGTGAGGCAGGGACCCTGGGTGACTGCAGGCACGGAGCTGGGGTCCCTACCCCGGCTGGCTCTTCCCATTGCCTTGGCCTCAGCCTTTGGCACAGCCCCCAGGTCCACACTTACAGTTTGCTACTTTGGCATTCACCAGTGAGGCCAGGACTGCAGCCCCCACCCCCTAGAGCCAGCCAATCAGAAAAGGGCAGATCCTGCAACACCTACCCCCTTCTCTTCTTTTTTGATACATCTCTGGGTGTGCTCTGACACGTCCAAAGATGCCACAGCCAATCAAGTTTAAACTGAGGGAACTGTTGCTTGCTCAGCCAATCATGTTTGCTGGAGATGACCTAACTGTCCCTGGAATTCCCCTAGCTGGGCTTAAAAGGAGCCTGAGAGCTTCTCTCCAGGTGTCACCATTTTGTTGTGTGGCTAACCCCTGCGTGCAGGAATTTTCTCGTCAGAAATGAATGCTCTTGCTTTTGCATATGTGAGTGGTGGTCTTTTGTGGGGTGATCTCAGCACTCAAGAAGCAGCAGAAGCAGGCAGATCTCTGTGCGTTCCAGGCCACCCTGGTCTATGAGTCAAATCCCAGGACAGCCAGGATCGTTACACAGAGAAACTCTGTCAAAAAACAAACAAACAAACAAAAAACCCATAAGTAAATAAGTAATAGAACACTGATACACACAAAAATCATCAATTCGATGGGCGTGGTGGGTCACACTTATAACCTCAACACTCAGGAGGCTGAAGCAGAGGATGTAATCAGGAGTTCGATGCCAGCCCAGGCAACACAGTGATCTAGGCTCAGTCTAGGCCACAGAGTAAGGTCATATCTCGAATGAATGCATGAATAAACACCCTGGGATCCATCCTTAGCACAGGAGCAGCAGAAGGAGAGGGAAGAGCAGGAGAGGGAAGAAGGAAGAGGAATTATAGTCATACTTTCTGACCGCAACCACAAGGAATCCAGCTGGAACTCAACAAAGAATTCTCCCAACACTTAGAACTAAGCAGCAGACTGCTGAGAAATTGACTCACGTGTCAAACAGAAAAGGACAACACACAAAATGTGTGGGGCACCACTTCATGGGGTGGAAGACGCACAGCAGCCTTAAGACACACACTGGGCAAAAGTCTGAAATCTGAAACCTAAGCTCCTGGCCCAAGATCCTAGGAAAAGTAAGTCCATTCCAGGCCAGGAGAGCCATGAAGAAGCCAGCAGGCCTCCATGACAGGACAGCCATGAAGAAGCCAGCAGGCCTCCATGACAGGACAGCCATGAAGAAGCCAGCAGGCCTCCATGACACTAAAGGGAAAAAGAGTGAGTGTGGGGCCAGTGAAATAAAACACACTCTTTCTGTTGTTGTTGTTTTGTTTTTGTTTTTTTATTTTTTTATTTTTTATTTTTTTTTTTGGTTTTTCGAGACAGGGTTTTTCTGTGTAGCTTTGCGCCTCTCCTGAAACTCACTTGGTAGCCCAGGCTGGCCTCGAACTCACAGAGATCCACCTGGCTCTGCCTTCCGAGTGCTGGGATTAAAGGCGTGAGCCACCACCGCCCGGCGGTTTTGTTTTTTTAAATCAGTAAAACCGAAAGCCCTCTAGCAGGGTTAACAAAGAAAAAAAAAGAGACATTTTCAAAAGAGAAAGCATAAATGGACTACCAGTCTCAGCCGGGCGGTGGTGGCGCATGCCTTTAATCCCCAGCACTTGGGAGGCAGAGGCAGGTCGATCTCTGTGAGTTCGAGGCCAGCCTGGTCTACAAAGTGAGTTCCAGGACAGCCAGGACTGTTACACAGAGAAACCTTGTCTTGAAAAACAAAACAAACAAACAACAAAAAAAATGACTACCAGTCTCAAAAACAAAACAAAGGATGTTACCACAGACCTTCGAAACCAGAGCCTAATGGGAAGGTAACACACAGAACACCACCCACACTTGACAACCCATGTTAGATGAACCAGTCCTTCAACAAAAAACACCCTACTATGTATGATCCACGCAAAGTGAAAAAGCATGTTCAAACAAAAATAAGAAAACTGAAATTTTTAACTTGGAAATTCTCAGAAAGAAACCTTGAAGTTCAAAGAAAACGCTTCCCTGGAGAACCCTATGAACTGCTTAAGTGCTGACAGACAAGTCTACACATGATCCCTCACAGAACACAGGGTGTTTCCCAGTTTGCTATTTATTTTTTCATGGTATTGGGGATGTAACCCAGGGCCTGGGACACTCCAGGCATGGACTCTACCACTGAGCTACACATCAGCCCCCAACTTATTTTAATAAAATTAATATTATCCTGATGAAAGTTGGTATTAAAATGAAAATTAGTTCTAGCAAGATGGCTTAGTGGGTAAACTGAGTTCAGTCCCCAGAACCCATGTGAAGGCAGAAGGTGAGAACTAACTACACAAAGCCATCCTCTGACTTCCACATCCTGTGCACCACCCCCAAACACACAATGATAAATATTTTTAGATTATAAATAAAATTTTAAATTTTTAAATAGTGAAAAGTAGAGTTCCTCCTGAATGCAGACACCAAAAAAGCCTTTCACAAATATTAACAAATAGAAGTCAGTAACATTTGCACACTCACACACAAACAATACCCTCTCTTTCTCACACACATACACACTTTTTAATTTTTTTTCTTGAGACAGGGTCTTACCATGTAACCTGGTACTTGCTATATAGACCAGTGTGGCCCCAAACTTAGAGAAATCTGTCTTCCTCTTGAGGGCTGGGATTACAGACTTGCACCACCACACCTGGCCTCACACCTTTTCGCTCTAATACTGGGGTTGAACCCAGAATCCCATGCTGGCTCCCATCCTTGGCAACAAAAAACAGTGATGATGGGAGGCGGGTACCAGGCATCCACTGAGGCACTTGCCCGCACGGACCAGGAGCTGCCCCGTATCTTGCAATATATCCTGTGCCCAGACTGTCACCCTACATTCCTGAGACTCCAGAATTCCAAATGCCAGGCTCTCCACACCCGGTACCCAGAGCCCGTGAAGGGGACAGCACATGCAGGCAGAGCCTGAATGACGCTAGTCCATCCAGGTGACGTAAAGGCCAAAGCACCTTAACAACTTAGAAATGCACAAGAGAGATGCAGCAGCCCTATCTCTTTGAGGGGAAATTGAGGCTGGGCCATGCTCTCAGCCCCAGATAGGACCCCAGGATAAAGAGCTCCTGGACTAGAGTGAGCTGAAGTTGCCAGAGTGCAAGACATGCAAGACTCATGGGAAGGGCAGGGAGGTGGGAACTTGGTTACTTTTTAATTGCTATACTAAGACATCATGACCAAGACAACTTATAAAACTAAGTGTCTAATTGGGGGCTGACGGTTTCGGAGGGTGAGTCCATTACCATCATGGAAGGAAGCCTGGCAGCTGTCAGGCAGGCATGGCACGGGAGCAGTACTTGAGAGCTTACACGCTCCATACGGAGGAGGCAGAGAGGGCTAAGTGGGAAAGGCATGGACTTTTTGAAACCTCAAAGCCCACCCTTAGTGACACACCTCTTCCAACAAGGCCATGCCTCCTAATTCCTCCTAAACAGCTCTACCAACTGGGGACCAACCATTCACATACATGAGCCAATGGGGGCCGTTCTCATTCAAACTACCACACTGAATCGGGCCCTACTGGGGCAGACATACAAGGCAAGGCCAAGGCTTGAGCAGGCAAGCCAAGTGACCCTGGGAGGCACTAGCACAGTGGGCTGGTGGGTAGGGGGAGCAGTGTCAGCAATCACCTCCTAGCCCCAGCCAGGACCATGTGTACACAAGAGACTAGTCCTCACCTCATCCAGGAAACCCTACAAGCAGCCAGGAAGCCATGGGGAGGCTCAGGCACCGGTCCCCTGAGAGCTGACATCCATGTCACTGTCACAAGTGCGATACAGCCGCCGCACCTCTCAGATTCTCTAACGGTTCCCACGGGAGCACTGAAGGTAAATATGTTAATTTGACTTCAATCATGACTTAGAAAAAAAAGCACACACTATATTAGTTTAAGGCACGGATCCTAAAAACCACTCAGACATGTGTGTGCACTGCACGTACTCAGCGAGTGGAAGCTTGTGCTCCTGTTTCAGGGCCCAGAAGGCAGGATGTTCCCCCAGAGTGGGCAATGAGGCCTCTGGGGTGGATGAGGAGACCAGGAAGAAGCAGGGTGCCTACCCAGAGTGCCATGGTATGCCAGGATAAGGCAGGATTCTTTCTTAGCCTGGCTGGCACATAACCACTCATGCTGGTGAGAGCAGTGAGTGCTGTCCTTTGGATTCTAAGCAAGGGACACTTTCTCTAAGCACAAGGCTTCACCACTGAACCCACTGTGCCAGTTCTGGGAGCCATCCAGGCCAAGCCAATAATCCAGGGTTCCTGGAAGTCCTCTGCAGGGACTGAAGGACAGTCAGACACCTAGCTCTCAACTGGATGACAGGGACAGTATCACAGTATAGGCTAAAGGCAGGACTCATGGCCAGCCCCCCTTACTTCCAGCTGAGGGGATCCTATGGCCCAGTAGGAAGGACATGGAGGTGCAAATCCACTCAAAAGGGAGTGGAAAAGTCACCTAGCCCTCGGGGTAGGAAGGTGGGGCCAGGCCTGAAGGCGCTTGGAGCTGGGGACCCTCTATCTCCTTCTGCTGGTCTCAGGAGCCCCAAACACAGCCCATGCTAGATATTGACGTGTTCATTCAAGTCTGGAAATGACTGCACCAGCAGAGAGGAGTGGGTCTGAGGCCTCCCCCAACTGCCTAGTCTGTGCTTAAGAACAGGACATTTCTAAAATCCAGATAAAAATCCAGGGAAGTCTCTAAAACTCAGCGAAATCCCTAATATTCCCACTGTGGATTGAGCAGCCAGCTACTTACTGTAGTCAGCTGTGGAGATGGGAGCCCCGCTAGACAGCTACAAACAACCATTCCCTGCTATGGGGGCTCCCAAGCCGGGAAAACCCTCTGAGTCTGAGCTGATACCATAAGACAGGCTGCCAAGATCAGCCACACCCACCCTGGCACAGAACCACGTACCACCCCGGAAGGACCTCTGTATTCTGTTGAGACCCAATAACTGGACCATGAGCCCGTCTCCCCCTGCCCCATGCAGCCTCTCTACACCCACTCTTCTTTGAGCCTGGGCCCTCTCGCGCCCTCACCTGGGGTGCCCTCCTCTAGAGGCATCCAGAATGCAATCTAGGTTCTAAGAAACACAAAAGGAAGTGTACTGCCAAGTAGGGTCACAGGAACTTCTCTGCATCCCAGAGCACCAATGCCCAGCTCTGCACACAGAAGAATTTCGCCCAGAACACAACTGTGGAGTTCTCCGATTTGGGAGTAGTGTCATGTGGGCCAGGAAGGGACCTGAGTCTCAACAGAGACACCACAGAGGGGCAGAGGGAAGAAACAGAACCACCTCAGAGCTGGCCAGCTGGACCTGGCAAAACCACTCGTGTGCAGGAGGTGACAGGGCACAGCCCTGGGACCCATCCAGGACAGCAGCCCCTCCTGTACCCTCTAACACAAGGGCACAGGGAACTTTCCCATGAACACCTGGGCTTGTGACCAAGAAGGCAAACAGCCCTGGGGAAAAGAAACAGGGTGTTCCTATATCCCAGAACCAAAAAAGACACAGGAAACAATCTAGAGGAGAGATCCCCGGCCAAACGGGGCCCTTGAGGCCAGTCAGGACTCTCCACCCCTCAGGCTGTTGGAAACTCAAGCAACCACTGGCTCTCTAGGGCTGGGAGGCAATGGTGTTGGGGCTGCTTGCCGGCACACGGTGGCAGAGCTAATGGACCAATTGATACACTCCACTCCCCGAGTAGAGCTAAGGCAGACCCAGGGACGGGCCACAGGCTGTGTTTCTGTCCCTCTGCACATCTGGGGGCTCAGAACAATCAGTAGCACTCGGCCTCAGTCAGGACCACAAGTGAGGGGCACCTGAAGACTTAGGGAAACCCTGGACCCACAGGAGGATGAGGGCTGCCGCGGGCGGGCCACTGCTGCCCACTCCTCAAGCCAGGACACAGACCCCCTGCCCTGCCATATTTACCCTTCCTGGATCACCTGATCCAGCATCAAAGAGGAAACTAAGCTCCATCTACCCAAAAGGCACCTGACTCGGGTAACGAGCGACGGCAGAGCACGGAAGGGCAGGAGGACTCAGAGGTGGTCAGCAGCCACACTGATGATCCTGGGCTCCTGTTGTTGTCTTTATACCACCAGATCCAGATAGGGGCCCCACAGCAACTAGACTCCAAGACGTCTTCAGAACCCTAAGAAAATGCCAGGACACAGCCATTACTCCTCTGCGACAGCTCTGCTGTCTTACTTCACCTCCTACGTTCCCTTCTGTGAGACAGGGTCAGGGGCAGCAGCTCCTCCCCAAAGATAC